TGGGTACTCCCTCATTGGCCAACTGGAGGGAGCAATGGTCAGCACTGGTGAGTACTCACAATTAGTATTTGGATCCAAAAAGAGGCAAAGGTGCTTTGGAGCCAACATGAGCACCCTTGCTCGGGTGCCAGATGGACCATTGCCCTCTTTGGGTACACACAGTGCACACCACAATAGCTGTGAGGGGAAGAGGTGTGGGCTGTTGTAAGACTAAACCTGAGGACTGGAGAGAGGATATGGTGTTGGCAGAGAAATGCTCTGATTTCAAGACATACGTCTCCTCCTCTGTTTAAAATAGGTAATAGTCAAAAATAGCAGTTTGTCCAGGACTAAACCAGCCCCTCCTCAAAACGTGAGATTCCAAGGAAGCACGATTCTAAACAAAGGTTTCTTCAAGGATGCCCAGTGCAGTCAAGAAGGATGCGGCGTAGGCTGTCTCTCTTCCTCACGAGAAGGAGCTGCCATGTGCTTGAGACTCCTACAGCCCTGCGTGGCAGTACAGGAGCGCAGCTGGGGAGCCCGCATGCACATCTCAGGCAATCACATTCCTTGCAGGGAAATGGCAAACCATGCGTGGGAGCACTGCCTCAAATCTCTAGAGTCGTCCTCCTCTGCAGTCCTCCCTCTCTTCTTTCATGAAGAGGGAGCATTCCAGGTCGGGGCCACCTCCCATTATGGCGGCCCCAAATCACAGCTGACAGTCACCATGGTAACATCTCACTTGGAAGGAGTGGGTGCTGCAGGGAACAGAGGGTGCCCTTCCTTGCTCAGGAACAATGCTCAGGGGTCACTACTCAGCGGCTTGGGCTGAAGCATCAGTAAAAACAAGACTGGAGTTTGGCAGGAGAAAAATACACTGTCCAGTTGCTTGTTGAGCCAGTGTTGCTATTTAAGGGAGAATGAGCTGCAGTCAAATAATGTAATGATTCATACACTTATTAAGGGTTATTTAATTTGGATTTTATACTGTTGCTTGGGCTCTTTATTAAGTATAGGAACCCGAGCGTTGGTCAGTGACCACAATAAACTGGAATGAATTGAACTGAGAAAAAATAGTTGGGGGTGGTGGATTTCACAGACACCAGGAGTCGGCTGATTTCTACCGTCAATTCTATAACGAAAATTCTGTTATTTGTATTGGGGTGGGCAATCTTTTTGTTTCTTTAGTAAAGTCCCGCATTCCCTCAGGGTGTTAAGCCAAACACAGCTGCTCCTCTGGACACACTCTAGGTAGGGTCTGATGAGCACAAAAGGAATACACACAAAAGAAGATGCAAACGGTGACTTTAGCAACCCAGGAGGGCCTTCTCAAGCATTCTAAGAAAAAGTTGGGCACATAATCAAGGATGGGCTTTCCCACATAAGCTTTCTGCTCCCCCACTCCCCACCAATAGGTTATCCAGGGGAATATCTACATGGTGCTTCCAGGAAGCTTGGAACCATCATCTCTTTCTTTCTCTATTAAATATGCTTTCTGCAAGGGCTGCACGTGGACTTCCCCACCAAGCCCTCCCTGATGCACCAAGTGCTGAAATCTTCCTCTGCATGGTTGAGGAACATCCCCTCCTCCAAATGGCTTGGTGGGCCTTTGCGTTTGCTCAACGATCCGAGCTTACCAGCTTTCTGTGCTTGAAAGCTTCTACAATGAAAGGCAGGGTACATATTTTTAAATAAATAAATCTGACACAGTGCCACCTAGATTCTGGAGAGCTTCCAAACAGAAAAGGAACAGCAGCTAAGCAATCTGGCTTGGCATTAGGTATATTAGAGAGGTTTGCGGGCTTTTGTCTGCACATCAACCAACCCTCTTTCGACGCCAGGGTTGGAAACGCACCTGTGCTCAGCTCTTCTCCTCCCCGCTCCCGCCTCCTCAGTTCCACCTCCTCCACTGTGCCATTTTTACCCACCATTGTTTCAGCCCCCTGGCCCTTTCTGCAGGCAGCAGCTGCCAGGTCCCTCCCATCAGGCACCCAGGAAACAAGACAAAGGGCGGGAAAGCCTTGTCGCCAAGAGGCACCAGCCAGGTGTCATGTCGTTTCATTTTGATTCCCTGCTAAAATATGCGTACATTGACTCTGAAGATCTTTTTAATCATTTTGCTTCAGGCAATCACAAGCTCATTCCTAGAAGCCACAAGTTCTTATTCATGTTTATTTTTAAACTGGGGCAAAGCAGAAAGACTCAACAGGGACTGCGGCCCTAGTAAAGAAGCAAAAGGAAGGACTGGTCTTCTGACGCAGTGTTTCTCAACCTTGGCAACTTTAAGATGTGTGGACTTCAACTCCCAGAATTCCCCAGCCAGCTAAATTCAGATTCACTAAATTCAGATTCACCCTGAAGAAGGAGTTTTCACAATAAGACAGGAATTATTTGGGCAAGGTTCAAATTTAACAGGGCTACTTCTCTTTCACTCCAAAACACTACTCGATAGATATCCTGGCCAGCTGAAAACAGAAAGCCAGCCAATAGAGGCTGGAAGATGATCGTGCTTGTTTAGTCCAGTGACTCTTCCTATCATCCTCTTTGCAAGCTGCAAAGAGCCCAAAGACCTTGCTAGGATCTCTGCAAACAGGAGTCTGCAGAGCTCAAGGCTGTTGATGGTTTTAAAGGTACTGAAGAGCAATGATCAAATCAGTGTCTGCCTCAAAAATAAATCATCCCTCTGTAAGCATGATGTACAATACATCAGAAATGCTTGCTGTTCAAGCTATCTCCTACCTCAAAGTCAGAAAACAAAACTGATCTGTGTATCAGGATGACTGCCAATCTGGTTTATTCTTTGGACTAACCTATGTCAGTTAGGTCAAAAGGAAAGTTAGTCCATTCAGGAAGGTTAATGACTCCCAGAGGTAGCTGCTGTATATACCAGAGTAGGATACTCTTTGATCAGGAG